GGGCGCATATTGCTCCAATATTATTCAATATATTTGTCAATGACATTTCAAAATGTTTTCACTTTTGTGAATTCCTAATGTTTGCGGATGATCTGAAGATTTTTAAGTCCATTAAAACCACTCAAGATGTTTTTGAAATGCAGAAGGATCTGGATAGATTTTGTGTATGGTGCATTGAAAATAATATGTTCATAAACACTGGTAAATGTAAATATATTTGTTTTTCAAGATCTTTGAATGTATCAGTCAATGATTATTATTTGCATAACAATCTGGTTGAAAATGTTGAATTGATTCGTGATTTGGGTATCTTGTTCGATTCTAAGATGTATTTTGTTAAAAACTTTCAATTTTGTAGGAGTAAGGCTTTAAAATTGTTAGGATTTATTAAGCGCAATACCAAAGATTTTTATAATATAAACGCCTTAGTTACTTTATATACATCGCTAGTAAGATCGCAACTTGAAAGTTGCACGGTTGTGTGGTCTCCATTCTTCCAGGTTCACATTAACCAAATAGAATCAGTTCAAAGAAAATTTTTATGTTATATTGCTTACAAATTAAATATCCCTAGAGATAATATTGTTTATAGAGACTTGGAAATTTTACTTAAATTACAAACATTGGATAAAAGAAGGTGGAATGCAGACATTATGACCCTATATAGGGTTGTTCATGGTTCTATTGATTGCTCGTATATTTTGGCGAAACTTAATTTTCATGTGCCTCCTAGGACTTTGCGTGGACACAAAACTTTTGAAGTCAATCAACATCGTACTCGTTATGGCCAAAATGCGGCAATTGATAGAATGATGAAAAATTTTAATGAATTGCAAATGAAGTTACAAGTTGACTTATTTAGTGTATCCGAAATGAAACTAAAGAATTGTCTGAAACAACTGTGATATTATAGGTAAATTTTCAAAAAAAGCAGGGAAAAAATGTAAAGATGGGAATCTTAAATTTGGAAGTTGTATAGGTCTTTTTTATATTTTATATGTTTTATATTTTATATTTATTACTTTATATTTTTTTTTTTTTTTTATATTTTGTTGGCAGATGTGATAGTCCAATTTGTAGATGTTTCATATAGTATATATTAAATTGTTTAATTGTTAGAATCAGCTTTAAAGCTGTAAAGTTGTATAATGGTTTACCGTTAATAAATAAATAAATAAATAATAACAAATAAAAAAATAATGCAGTAAACGGCAAAAACTGAAAGATTTCACACAAAAATTCGAAATTCAAAATTCAAAGACCCGAATCTGTTATTTTTATGTGTCAAATCAAAATGTCATGTATCATTATTTGATAGTTGTCAGAAAAAGGGACAGATCTGGGGATTTTATTTATTTTCAACTGGTGAAAATAACGGTCAAAATTCAAACTCTCTCGTGAATACGCCTATAGTAAGCTTATCGGCCAGTAGTTTTCGAGATCAGTCGGGTCACCTTTCTTGTAGATCAGAACAACTACAGCATTCTCCCAATTTTTGGGTATATGTTCTTCTGTTAGGCACTTATTGGACATCTTCACTAGTTCTTGTCTCGTCTTTCCGTGAGCATTTCAGGCAGAATGTGGTCTTCTTCTGCCGCTTTACCATTTTTCATCTGGGATAGCCCTTTCTCCAGTTCTTCCATATTTATGTCGGGCATTTCTTCTGAGTTTGCATCTACTATTCGTATTTTGTCTTCTTTTGTCCTTGTGTTTGCTATTTTAGATTCGTACAGATCTGTATAGAAAGATTCCACAACTTTCAATATCTGTTGTCTGTCTTCTACTATGTTGTTTTTCGCATTTTTTATTTTTGTTATCTCTTTCTTGGGTGTGCTATGTCTTTTAAATATATTTAGTCCTTTGTTCTGTTCTAATAGGGATTGCACTTGTTTCGTTTGATGTTTTAGTATATCCTGTTTCGCCATTTTTCTTGCTGTTTTGTTGGTTTCTGTGTATTCAATAGTGTCTCTTTTACCCTCAGTTATCAGTTTTCTCCTTTTCTTTAGTAGCTGTTTCGTTTATATCGATAGTTTATCCGGCGTTTTTTCTAGGGGGCCTATTATCTGTTCTGCTGTTTCTGTTATAATTTTTGTTATTCTCCTATTGTTATCATCTAATGACTCTTCTGTTTTTCCTAGATTGTTGGAAAAGTTTTCTTTCGGCGGTTTGTATGTTTTTCGGCGGTTTGTATGTTCCTTTCTTTCTGCTATCTTTTCTCTACTTCCTCTCTTCGTCATTTGTTTCATCTTTCTTTTTCTTTCCATTTTTGTGTTTATGAGCAGTTTGCATCTTATCATCCTGTGATCACTGCCGGTGTTGAATTGATTGACTACATCTACGTCTTGGATCATGTGTTTATGGCGGGAGATGATAAAGTCAATCTCATTTTTGGTTTGTCTATCTGGGCTATTCCATGTCCATTTACGTTTCTTTTTCTTTTGGAAGAAAGTGTTCATCAGATAGAGTCTTTCTCTGTCTAGGAAGTTTGCTAACATTCTCTCCCCTTTCATTTCTGGTGCCGAGTCCGAACTGTCCTATGTGTGTTTCTGTTGGTTCTGCTCTTCTGATGCCCATTTTTGCATTAAAGTCTCCTCCTAGAATAGTGTGTGTCGTTGGGTTCTCTCTTATTGCTCACGCTATGTCTTCGTATACCGTTTCCGCCTCGTCATCATCATGTGAGGAAGTTGGAACATAAGCTTGTATATATTTTAGCGTTATATTTTTATTTACATATTGATTACGACATACATATAGAATGAAATGTATAGGAAAAGTCTAAGGTTAAATAGAGAACGAAAACGATTTCCCCTGTTCCACCTCCAGTATGCAGTGCTGGAAACGCTGGAGGTGGAACAGGGGAAATTGTTTACGTTCTCTATTCAAACTTTTCTAGACAATTCATTTTATTGCATTTGAATTGGCATGTGAGATGTTCACTTGCCAGACCGGTATATTACTCTGTCAGATATTGTTTTCAGGATTTTCAAGTTTGTCGATAGTTTTTTATTTATTAATATTCCAACTCCTCCATTGTTATCATCATCCTTCCCCCTGTAGAGCATAGTATGCCCGGAATCCAGATGAAAGTATTGTTCTCCTTGTTTCGGTTAGTCCTACAAATGTCCCAGTTTATTTTCTCCAATTCGTAATCTAATTCAACCAGACGTTTCTTAGTTCCGATTGATCTTGTGTTGTAAGTTGCAATGTTCAATAAGCAATTTTTTGTAGTTTTGCTAGGTCCATTTTTCTTCTTTTTTTTTTTTCTTTATGGATGTCGTTCTTATGTGCCTCCCCCAGAATCCACGAGGCTGACCGAGGTATCGGTGTGGGTTTGTGAGGTACCTCTACCCACCTGGGGTCCTTTTTTTCGTTTTGAATTTTGAATTCCATTTAGGGTAGGTTTATTCATCTTCTGATAAACTTTCAGGTATGCTATGCAATCTGACGGATAAAACTGCAATTTGTAGTTTCATTGGTCGGCCAGATATTCGTCGACCAATAGAATTGTAGAACGGTAAATTTATCTGGCAGATAGTTACCAGCACGTTTATCTGGAGATGAATAAATCGGGCCTTAATTCCGATTATCGGATAAGTACTATAAGGACTGCCGAATTACCGCGATTCGTATTTGGTAATAGGTCTGTTTCTGCAGAAATCACAAACCAGGCAGAGTGAATTTCATTGGTCGAAACTAGTTTTCTGACAAGAGGTTGGGCACAAAATGGCGGCGACAACCTATTGTCGCCACTGCATGTAAAGGTTTATTTAGTCACTGTACTCGATAGGTACCTACTTAACGAATACATACGATTTATCAAAATTGCCACATTCATCTGTAAGATAAAAGCTTACTCACCATTTATCCAAGTGTTGGATTCTCTAACTTTAATCAGCTTGTTATACTCGCACCGACTCGCACCGGGATCTGCACTGAGTATACTTTGTATTGTTGTGATTAGATGTCCAAAAGAGTTTATTTATGTTGTTCACACTAATCACAGTAGACACTACGACACTAGCTTGATTTTAAAAAACGCCTTTGAACTAACTTATGCTTTATTCTCTCACTAATTTTTGTAGTAAATTTATTGAAATTGCTTCATCCCCCAGCAGCTGTGCTGTGTGTATCTGATTGACTATTTAGTTAAAATAATAACAAAATTAAAAATGCACGACATCTTGGTGGAGGCGCCACTATTAATAAAGCATTCAGTTTCTCTGCTAATTTGGTAGGTACTTATGGAAGTCATTTATAGAGATGGGATTGATCGGAAGATCCGTTATTTTCAATTAACAGTTTCGACTGCTGCTATCAATTATTTTAGAACACAGGTTGTCGTTATTTTTAATGTTCTGTGGTGCTAACGTATACTCATAGGTACTCGTTGGTAAACGGGTAAACAGGGAACAGGGAATCAATGCGGTTGCAATTAAACGGTTATGGGATATAAAATAACGCTTAACAGTAAAGACAACCAGTGCTAAGTAATTTAATATAGCGTTATTTTTCAACTGTTAATTTTGAACACAACTAACAGTTGCAACCGTAGTCAGATAATCCTGGTGTCTTGGCGAACGCGCTAACATTAACATAGATGAATTAGGGTTGATAGAGCGGACAGTCACTGTATAGAGCAGAGCGGACGGGATAAAGTTCAGAGTTCCTTGCTTGAGAGACTATTTTGAATACAGAATAGAGGAAGAAATCAAGAAAAAAAAAGAAAGTTCGGGTCTTGGGTTCGAGTTCTTAGAATAAGCCAGAGGGAGTAGTATTTCAATAAGATTTCAATCAATATAACAAAATGAAAGAGATTGGGTCGCACTGAAAATACTGAATCATAAGTACTGAGTACTACTAGAGCGCTTATTACTCTCCCATGTTTTAAAAAACGGGATCTGCTCGGAGCAAGACCAGCATCTACCAATTGAAAACTATGAGTGCAACTTTCCGAAAACGCCTTATGTCAAAACCATCTGCGAAAACAAAAACACAACCTCACTTAATTTCCTTTATTTACATTTTTGAAAACAAAAGTGAAAGTGACAAAAAGTTTTGCCAAAATCTATTCAAAAAATGAACGAAGAAATCGACGACAGCGAATTCTACCATGAAGACTTCACTACCGCATCGGACTGGGAAATTCTGGTAGCCCATATGGAAGAAATCATCAATCAAGGGAAATCTGAGGAGAAAAACGAAAGTAGCACAGCTGCTGGGCTCTGGGAAATTAAATCAGAAAAGCTCGTTTACATCGACTCTAACTTCGATTTTATTTGGTACAAGAAAAACTGCGACGAGGATCTATCTGAAGGGAGCGATGACAAATCTAAACATCCCTTGGACAAGTGGCACGATTTTACTTTGGAAGAATACAGTGAAGACCAATTCAAGGATATTTGCTTGGCCAAATGGTATGGTTTAGATGAATTTCTAGTCCTCAGCCCTGCTGGTAAAATTGGTGCAACTAACAATGAAAGTCGAGCAAAAATTTTATTGAGTGCAGCTGCAGTAGTTGCTAATAACTCATCAATAGAAGTCCCACTATTTATTCAAGTAAAGGACAAATGGCAACAAGTATATTTGGGAGTATACGAAGCTAATAATATTCGTACTAGCTTTGATATAGTACATTTGAAAAGAGGTCTCTATTATTGCCAATACCTTACAGGGCTTTTGGATCTATTTAAAACTAAAATCAGATCCCCTTGTACTATAGAAAATATTTTTGTATCCTACCAAGGTACCTATCAGCTGCAAGAATTTGGCAATTTTATATGGAAGCAAGATGTTTTATCCAACAGTATGGATATTGAAAGTTTATACATTCTCCCTTTTGGTGTAACGGTTGATCCTCTGCAAACCCTTCTACTGAAAGCTATATGGAGTCGTTTATCTGAACACTCAGTGATAGACACTGAAAGTTATACTGACTTTGATCCAATGAAAGCCCAAAAGTGGCATTGTGAAGCTGTTTTTACTCAAGAGCCAATATGTTTGCTTGGAGATGCTTTGGGAGAGTTTTTGGAGTTATTGAATAATGATTCTAGTGTTTACGATGTACTTGGGGATTTTGCTGTTATGCATGTGCCAGAAAGTCATCCTTTGGATTTATTGACCGAGTCGCCTGTGCCAAGTTTTTCTCATTTGCTCAGCAGAGCTGCAAGATCATCGTTGATCAGTAATAAAAGAGGTAAGTGTTCAATGTTTATAACAATACACCCTCGAATATACCTATTTTATTTACCCATACCTACAAATTTAGGTCTCGATTTAGGTCTTGAAAAGAAGGTTTTTGATTTATGATTTGGTAGTGGGTTTCAATTAAAAAAAAAAAAAAAAACATTTATATTGCTAAAGATTAGTTTCTTTATTCCTGAAAACTGACATCCTATAGGTAACAAGACATTATTTTTTCTTCTAGGAAATCCACCACTAAATGAGGGTGTCTTAGTTCCCTTGCTTTATTTTCTGTTTCCTGATGCTGATGAAAATTCAATGTTCCCTTATGGAGTAAAAGACGAGAAGGAGCCAATCCAGAAAAAGTTTAAGGTAAGCCACCAGTTTTGTTTTAATGCCCATTTTATACTCAATCAGCTAGGGTGTAGGTATATTCACAAATCATGGTGCTTACTAGATTTGTTCAACATCTGTTATTTTTTATTACTTGTATTTTACTACTGTTGTATTGAATTTTTTCAAATGTAGGTATGCCTCTTTAGTACCTACTGTAAAATTGTATATTCTATATGAAATTACATTTTCTTTCAGTTGTTCCAAAGCTTGGACGATCAGTTCAAGGGATTCAAAACTTCTAATGAAGACTCTCTGATATGGAGGCTTTCTATTGTGCTGTCTCATACTCTTCAAACCTTGGGAGGTATCAAAGCTTTTTGTCACATATGGTATGAATTCGTGCAAGAAATGAGGTACAGGTGGGAAAACAGCATGCTAATTCCTGGGTAAGTGAAAATGTTAGGTCTAAAATTGGCTCAGTCTCGTGTTTTCCATATTATTTATCTTCTGGTTTTTGGAGAAAGAGTAAAATATCAGATATTTTGAAACTTCTCATTTTTAAAAAATAATATTCCTTCAATTAATCGAGCAATTGATATTCTCTTAGTATCCTGAAAAAAAAAATCTGTGCGTGATGCAAAGCGTTCGCCACTCCATCCAGAATATTCTACTTAAAAATCGCTCCATGCAGGACCCAGTTTATCTAAATTAGGTAGCGTTTTTATACAATAAAAATTGCTGAAAAAAAATTAGAAAAATGACTCAGACTATTGTGCTGTTTTTCGTTCTGAAATTTGGTCTGAAACAAGGCTAACATCTGCTCAATTTGCAATATAAATTCTGATGCCAATGCCTCATTGGTTAAAACCGAGGTTAAAACTGATTGGATATTCTGGGATTTATGATTTATGTGAAGTCTATAGTTAATTGTCTGGAATTGCGTCTACAGACGGAATCGTTGGATAGAACACCTAAAGGAAAATGCATCCGTCGAATATACCACCCTAGTGAACACTTTTTCCATTTAGTCTATAGCTTATTTACATTTTCGGTGATCTATTGCGGTGTCCAGTTTGTGAAGTGAATGGAAAAACCTTTTAGTTCTTCAAAGTCTTTTACATATCGTGCTAATCCAGATCATTAAGCTATTGACTATGTCGAAAAAAACGGGGGTAAAAGGAACTAAGACGTTAGTGGAATTTTATTGTTTATTATGTTCAATTGGTCCCTAAAGATGATAAAACCGCGGAGTGCTACCAGATATAGGGTTGCATTTTTAAGAGCGGGGTGAGTTTGTCGGCTCTTTGGGTTTTCGGCTATAACTCAATAACTAAGTATGCATTTTTGGTGCACAAATGCATTGAGGTTTTTTGTAGAGAATAAAATTTCCTATCGAAATGACATCTTTTGAAGTCCAAATACTTGTTTTTTCAACAAAATAAATCCAAAAAAACAACTTGAAAAAAAATCAAGAAATTGACTTTTTATTTTTTTATTTTATTTTTGCCTATAACTTTTTTCTGAATTGACTTAAGCATAGGCATTGCTTCATAAGAAACAGAGCTCATGTAATTTCCGTTAAAATGGCGGCTGATAGAAGTTCATACGATAAAAAATGGCCGAGATATAGACATTCAAAGTTAGCAACTTTTTTTCGGTTTTTCAACTTTTTGCCTTCATATCGTGTTATTTTCTATTCTAGCATGCTAGATCAATTTTTGTTCAATAGAAAATTATTTTGCAATAATTTAGTGTTAATTTAAGAATAATAATGTCATAGACATAAACTTTTTATGAATTTATTTTATATAGGTACATTGTAAAATCGATATACTTACCTACATATATCATGTTACATGATTAGATATGTCAAAATATTTTCGAGTTCAATATCAACTTCAGCTTCGATTCCAGTATGGATGTTTTCTTCGGTAATGTGTCTGGTATTTCAATGTTGTCGCAATTGATACCAATACATGCTTCATTCTTTACAAAACATGGAACAGGTTATTCCTAATTTCTACAAACACAGGATGCTTGGCAACCTTTTGTGCAAGCAAGCAATTTCCTCCAGCAAAGTTTGCGGGGCAGGAGGATTAACCGTCCGTATTGGTATCAAAACTATGGTTTGACTTTTCCCAATCCCAATCAAGTGTATTTAGAGCATTTTGATAAATTAACCATGCAAAAAAAGAAAATATCACGATACGATAGCAAAAAGTTGAAAAATCGAAAAAAAGTTGCTAACTTTGAATGCCTATATCTCGGTCATTTTTTATCGTATGAACTTCTACCAGCCGCGATTTTCACGGAAATTACATAGGCTTCATTTTTCATGGAGTAATTCCTATGCTTAAATCAACTCAGAAAGAAGTTATAGGCCAAAATTGAAGAAAAAAATAAAAAGTCAATTTTTTGATTATTTTTCAAGTTGTTTTTTGGATTTATTTTCTTGAAAAAACAAGTTCTTGGACTTCAAAAGATGTCATTTTTCAAATTTTATTCTCTACAAAAAACCTCAATGCAATTATTCACTAAAAATGCATAGTTTTTGAGTTATAGCCGAAGACCCAAAAAGCTGACAAACTCACCCCGCTCTTAAAAATGCACCCCTATATCTGGTAGCACTCCGCGGTTCGCGGTTTTATCATCTCTAGGGACCATTTCAACATATCAAACAATAAAATTCCACTAACGTCTTAGTTCCTTATTGAATGACATAGTCAATAGCCTACATAAAGTCTGTTTTTTTTTTTAAAGATAATTCCTAGTCAAAAATTTAGTAACTATATTGGCAACACAAGCCTTTTCTACATAAAAAATTTGAAAGCATTGACAATTTTACATTGTATTGCCAACATAATGTCATTTTGTTTTTTATCTTAAAAAAAAAAACAGACATTAGGCAATTCGACAATCTGCAGGTGATATGATACGCACCTGATCATTCAGTGGCAAATGAGTTTTTCTGCGATTGACAAAAGATGTCAGCATTTTTGATCGGTTGATAGGTCGCAAAACTCAATATTCTGGTATTTTAATTACGTTTCAATAGTTGCTAAGAAATCAATGAATAACAATACCGGAATCACTTTCCCGGCCTAGGCTGGGAAAGTGATTCTCGTACTGCTGAACAATTGGAACAAAAAGACAAACATTTAACAGAAATTTAACCGATCGCAGAAAAAATAGTATGTGTAGGTATTTCGGTGGAAAAGCACATTCTCGGCCTTCGGTGTTTGCCGGCCTCGGCTACGCCTCGCCCGTCAACTTACACCGTGGGCCGAGAATGTGTCACTTTTCCACCTAAATACACAATATACTATTTTTGATTGATCTGTGACTGGTTAACTAGAAATAGGCTATTTTTTATACTGGGATAAAACAATAATATTTTAATGCAGAATTATATAAATTCACATAAACAATAAGCAGCTATTAGTTTGCCCTATCCAATCTATCAACACCGTATTTTTGAAGGCGAAGATCACATCTTCCTAGGATGTCTCGGATGTATACCTATACCTCGACCTATACAGACCAAAAGTGGAATATCAAGATAACAATTTTTTTTTTCCAAACAATCATGTATATATACAAATTTATAAATTTTTACATTCGTCATTTATCATACTAATTAATCAATTGAACAATTAAATAAAACACAGTGTCACAACAATAGATCAAAGTCAGCAGTAACATCCCTATCCAGAAATTCCCTATAATGATAAAAAAATCCGGCCTAACAGATATTTCTTAACTACAGACTTAAATCGCTGAGCTGTCAACTCTCTTACAGAGACAGGCAGCTTATTATGAAAGACAGGAGCAAAATAAAGTGTTGCATTCCTTGATGTTCCTAGTATGAGAAAATTAATCCTATTATTGTCGCGATGTCTGGTATCGTGATGGCGTGTTTCACCCAGAGCCGCGAAATTATGAAAATTACGGTGCATGTACAGTAGGCAGTCATAAATATATTGTCATGGGACGGCTAAAATCTGAAAATCACGATAAAACTGTTTCGGGTCTTCTCGGTATCCGACATGAGCCAGGGGTGCGATTTTCGAAACCATTCGAGTAGATACATTTCGTAAACGAAATTTGACTGACAACAATGTAAATTGAATGTGGAGCAGTCAAATTTCGTGTACGAAATGTACTCGAATGGTTTCGAAAATCGAATCCCAGAACTCTCACTGCCTTCCGCTGCGAACCAAACACTCTCGAGGCATGAGCCGAATGTCCCCAAGCCCAAGCCAACAGAGCATAGCAAATAACGGAATAGACTACAGCATGGTAGGCCATTAGAGCGACACTCAAATTGGTGGTCCTACACAGATTTCTAAGTACATATATTGCAGATGTAATTTTCTTGGAGATATGGTTTACATGGCACTCGAAAGTAAGTTTGGGGTCAAGCATGACTCCCAGAAATTTTATCTAATTAGGATTACTGATTTCTTCATCTCGTCTTAAGGTAAAGGTTATATTCTCGGTTTAGGTTCAATTGAGAGAATCCTATCCAAAGCGTTCATAAGCTTCATCTTAGCTTACAAGATAATCACGGATGACCAACATGGCTTCCTGCCAGGCCACTCAACAGCCACAAATCCCCCCACCTGCTTGAATGAATGGACTCGGTCGATGGATAATAACCAACCAATAGATATTTTGCACTTGGAATATGAGAGGACTTTTGATAAGGTTCCTTATAAACCGAGTTATAAACGTTCAATATACAATTTAGATCAATTTGTGGGAAAATATTATCATTTATTGAAAAAACTCATAACTCCAGAATTTTTAGGCTAAGTGCGCGTTCACATTGACACCGCTCGAGCGGCGAGCGTTGCGCGATGCCGCTGTAGTGACGCCCAAAAATAATTTTAACGTTATATTTCAAATGAACATGTTCACACTGGAGCAGCGCGTCCCACGGTGTTAACATGTTCATTTGAAATATAATGTTAAAATTATTTTTGGGCATCGCTACAGCGGCATCGCGCAACGTTCACCGCTCGAGCGGTGTCAATGTGAACGCGCACTAAGAGTGGATGGTCAGCTATCAGAGCCAAAGTCAGTTCATAGTAAAAACGTCAATGTCACGGTTAGTCCTTGACCCGCCTCTGTTTACATCTAGGCAAATTTATGTCAGACATAAAAAATTTAGAAACCTGGACACAGCGCTGGCTTATGAAACTTAACACGGACAAATGTACCAGTCTTCACATCAAAATGGAACAGAGGGACCTGGGATTGATAATAAAGGACAACCTGAAATGGAAAACCTATAGACCTCAGATGGTGAAAAAAGCAAACACTATGATATACCTACCTGGGAGAGCTTTCAGCAATAAATTTGTAGAATTATTGAGAAAAATGTATGTGTCCTTCATTCGCCCAAAGCTGCAGTTCTGTTACCCAATATGGAATCCATACATCA